GATAATTTGTCCCTTTTAATTTATCCTCAGATAAATTTGTCTCTTTTAAGCGTAGTATGCATGATTATGGTCTTCATACTAGTTATGCAATGCTTTTAAATGGTAACCCAAGGAATATCTCACAAGTCACTTGACAGTGTTTTTTCTCCCTGCACACACGCTGTCAGGCAAGTGTGTATACCAAGAAAATACAAGTGACAAGTGAGATATTCCATGGTATACCACAAGAGAGCATGGCATAACTATCTTACACCATGCCATAGAAAATACAGTGGCCAACACAATCACTGCAACATACGCGTGGCACACAATGGGAGGGTTTGGTGTAATACTGTCAGATATACAACAGCTTTCCTGTATTCTGATTGGCTACATTTTCTATGGCTTGGTATATAAAAAAGAAATACACAGGGATGAGACAAAAAATCCAAATAGAAGCCGCTGAAAGGTTCAAAAGAGTATTACAAACAAGTTGATGGTTTTGGCCTTATCAGTTATCACCTCTACTGATCTTAGGAATCTCAAGCTAATATGTAATTGTTAAATATAATTATAAACTAAGACTTTAACAAAACAATGTTGCATAATTAAAACATCCTATTCTTAAAAGAGTTATCTCATGTTCCACATCACCATAAAAGGGTCAATTTTTATCATGTATAAATAAAGGTTACATGTATGAATCTACAGTATATGTCGAAAATTTCCATTTTCTATTTCAGTTGATCAAAATGTCATACAAGGAGAAAGTTCTGCCAAATAAATTTCAAGGAACTTTATTTTGGCAACATATTTGGGATAGAGCTAACAAATGTAACCGGAATTTACCGCATGCAGGATTTGCTTGCTCTTACATAAGCTTTACTACATGTGATCTCAACATATGATGTACAAACGTTAGTCGATCACAAACCGACTAACATGGGCCGACTGCTGCATACATGTACGTACGGCGCTTGTGACTGTCCAATTTCAAATAACTATTTCTATAAAAGTTGACTCTATAAATCCCTTTTACAAACAGTGATTCAAATCATATTTTAACACAAACAGCTTGTATAAAGAACGCTCATTGATTAGGAAATGATATAATTTTCCTAAAATAGCTGATTCATCAACAATAACATTCGATCAATGGCATAAGATGAGGAATCAATGAAATTTTTTTAAAGCTTCATGTCACATGAAATATTTGTTTCCACCATTGAAACCACTTTATAGATGCGGTTTAGGTAACAACCTACCTTTTTTTGAACTTGCACATTTACGCCTTTTAGCTCAAGATCAAACTGTTTTCTCTCCTCAATGACTTTCTCTCGCACTGTACGAAGTTCTCGAAGTTCGCTCTGCAACTTTTCCTTGTCGATAGCGGAGGCCGCTTTAATTTTCCCCCCAGACACGGAGACTTGCTTCTCAAGTGATTTCTATAAAAGAGTGTTAAGGACTTTCTTAAGAGACAACACGGAACAAACACGAGTGTCTTGTCGTGACGGAAAAAGAAACGAAAACGAAATGTCTTTTTGAAATCGGCCTAAATAGAAATGGAGCAACAAGTGCGAAGAGGATACAATTTTGGCGTCGGTTTCGCGGATTCTTCCAAGCATTTCATCCATCTCCAGTTGAAATCTCTTGCTATCGGGCGGCTTGAGATCTTCCAGGCCATCGTTGTCAACAGCTGTGTAGAGATAAATAGAAGATCGGGAGATACTAATTGTAAAATGGACCAAGAGAGGATTGCACCAAAAAATCACGCTAGACTTGCGGGCTTTCGTACCGGTGTCCGACAAGTCTGTCAGCGCGCTTCCCCGTCGACCATCCACCTCACCACTATTTTCATTGTTCATTTTACGTCCTCAGCAATGCTGGGAGGCTCCTCGAGGGTTGTAACCATAAATTACTCTGTCACATTTTGGCGATTTTCAACACAAAATAAAATTCCCAACAGAAAACACGAACGCAGAAAACACGAAATCTTTGGTCCATAAGAACTGTGGGTAAAATGCGAGTTAGCGCAGGGTCTGGGCCTCAGAATTTATAATAACGGTGCCGAACCCAATTTATTCGCAATCTAGCCAATGAGCACATCATGGTCACTTTATCATATATTTTGGCTACGGTAATTATACATAATTGTACCTTTTGTGGCACGTTTCGGCGGAATATCAGGCCTTTGGTCTCATCATGACTACATCTCGACAGAATTGGAACCATGGCTAGACCAAACTCTTAGACCAAAATCCGGGAGTTACTCCCATACATGGGCTACATAGGGTTAGTGCCGCGGGATAGGGTATCATTTTTGCCCCTGTTAACGTCGTGTTCCCGGTCTGACTGTCTGCATCCCTACTGCGCACGATTTTCGCGTCATTAGCGCACGCACATAACACATAAGCGCGTGCACGTACAAAATGTAAGAGATTTCCCTCAAACTAAGCTCGATAGCGAAATAAATGCTCCTTTTCTCGAGCACGGTGACCCCCACTTTTCATTTCATAATTTCAATGAGAACAATATCCTCAATAACTGAGAAAAAAATTAGCAGAAATCTATGGCTACTTTTTTGGCAAATGAAATAAATACTACAGAGGGAGACATAACGGGTCCAACAGTGCATGTCCAAATTATGTTTCCTTCAAAGGATAAAAAAAATACAGGGTATTTGAGGACATTTCTTCAGGGACGTAGATGAATAAATAATCAAAGAAAGTCAAACTCTGTGTGATGTAACACGCTGCATTGAAAAATAATCGAGCTTATTTGTTGCGCACGGAGATTACCAAAAGTCACGTAAATAACCGAATTTATCAGCATTGTGGCGTGAAAACAAGCACGGTGACCCCCTCTAACAACAACAACAAAAGCCTTTATTAACGTGTCTGGGGTATTTAGCATTGCTGCTAATTGGGAACACACACAAAAAAAGAAATTATGAATGTAAAAATGAATAAGTATATATTAAAAAGTTAATAAGTAAATA